CCTGTTTTGTCCAGCAATAATCATGAATAAATGACTTATATGGCATTGTAAGGAGTCGAGGAGTAGACAGGAGGCAAGTTAGAAGCGCGCGCAAATTAGACAGAAATATAAGAGAACATAATAGAGGAAAGAGCCGCTGCGGTCCTGGGATAAGTGGAATACTTGAAGAGAGAGAGAGAGAGAGAGAGAGAGAGAGAGAGAGAGAGAGAGACAGAGAGAGCAAGGAGTCAATGTAGCTTTAGACTCTCGCATATTTAGGAAAAAACGCCGTAGGTTTCGGAAGCGAAGTAGTGCACTCGTGACCTAGACATATAATTAAGGCTCGATGTCTGTTGCTTGGTAATCGAAGGTTCGACTCTCTGAGCGAAAGAGCTATGAGAGGGGCAAACGAAAGTGAGACGGCCCAAGATGGGAAGGAGCGACGAAGGAGGTAGGACGTAGGAGGTGGTAGTTGGTTGGAGGAAGAGGAGGAAGAGGAGGAAGAGGAGGAGGAGGAGGAGGAGGAGGAGGAGGATGAGGTGAGAGAAAGAGAGAAAGAGAGAGAGAGAGAGAGAGAGAGAGAGCGATCGTTATAATAGATGTGCATCACGTAAAACCCTGAAAGATTCTCGCAAAATTCGGGGCCTCTTGTTCGCGTTGGCGCGCCGCTTCAGACCAGCGCGCACCATCACCTTTTTTCAGCTCGAGGCGTTCCTACGTGTGCAGTTACTCACCACGGTTTTTCGAACTCTTACACTCAAAAGCTTGACACTCACCGGTGCTCTTATGAACTCCATCGATACCAACAAAATCAGGATTTTCGGAAATGCATACGAAGAATGTCAATCAGCTCGAGGTGAGTGCTTTCTTCGCGTCATTGGCTTAGATCTAGTTTTCTCATTTTCTCATTCTCAAAAAAAAAAAATAAGAAATTTCTAATTACGCAGTTACATTATTATCCATCAGATAATTGTATAGCTAATTATTCCCTTTATTTCTTTTTTTCTCTTTTTGTTTCTTATTGTTAATTATCTACAGTAATTTTGTGCGAATATTTTCAAGAAATATTCCTTTTTAAAATTCTTATCTTATAAAGTAAGATTATCAATTATTATGAAGTAATTGTATAAGCGTTTAAAAGAAGGATATTTAAAACACACGAACGTATTCTATCTTGTTTACTAAAATTTTTATCGTATCACCATAATGACATATATCATATACATTTATATAAATTGATAACTATTAAACTATACAACTTTTCAAAAAAAAAAAAACTAACTAATCGACAGAATCGAGTGAACAAAGTTAAATTTATTATACAAATAAATGTCTAGATTTACAAAATAATATACTATGTATACATCAAAAGTATTATTATTTAAATATAATACTATTTAATACAACACCAATTACTTTGTAAAAGAACAGTTATTTAAAAAATATTGAAAATTATGTTAACTCATAACAATCGACTCGAATATATACAATAAAAAATATATATATATCGATGACTTTATTACTTAAATAATCCAAAGATTTATAATGTTATTAAAATTAGTCATTCAATTTTATTAATATTATGATTCTTTAGAATAATATAAAAATGGAACTAATTTGTAAATATATTTATGAATTAATAAACAGCATTCTAATTAATATGAAATATAAAAATAAAAGACATAAAATTGAGCTTTTTTTTTATATATTATGTTTATAATAAAATCATTATTACATTAATAGACAATACAAATAGTAATAATATACTATTAAACTAAACAATACATAAGATATCAATTAACCTAAATAATTAATAATAATACTTCAAACATTAATTTTTAAAGAAAAGATTATTAATTGTTATAAAAAGAAAAAAATTTATGAAATTTAACTATGAAATTTCTCTCGTCTTTAAAAAAATTTTATTTTATATATTTTTACGAAAAACAAAATAACTTTGAAACAAATGCAAAAAGGGGACTTGTAGATAGCAGTAACATTTACAAAAATATTTTGGCTTCCCATCCCGGATATCGCGGTTTCCGATCGATCGGTTACATCTTTTCCTTAAAATATAACCTACAAACTATGTATTTATTAAGAAACGTATTCACATAATGTATTTTTAATATTGTAAACTAACAAATTTATTAATTAAATAATCATAATATCTATGGGAACAATGAGATCTGAACAAAACTACCTACAATTTTAAAAATAATTTTTTAATAATTTTAAATGTTTATTATAAAAATTTACTTTCCATTATTTATAAATTCTTTATTTTTACAAATAAACATATATAGTAATTCTTTTACGTATTGTTAAACATGAAATCTCAACATTTTTAAATTACTTAAAACTTATGTAACATTTATTTTAATTTAACTTTAAAATGTTGCCATTTATATTAAAAATTATTGAATATGTTAGATTAAATAATATGAATATTATTTTTATTATTCATTGTAAATTAAAAATTCTATATAAATAATAAAAAATAACTCATCATAATGAACATCTCGTGTTGCTAAAGTTTCGATTATTATTTATAATTGCAACATTAAATTAATAACTTCTTCATTTAATTTTGTTATTTATTTATGAAAAAATGATTTAATTCTGTTTTATTTGTAGAAAACTGAAACCAAAACAATTAGGAAGATAAGTAATATAGACTCAAGTAAGTATAATATTCACGTCACTTTCAATTTAACCATTGATAAATAAAGCGTTTATTGTAAAGTGAGTAAAATGTAATTATTTAGAAGTGTAAGAGACATTCGATTATAATTTCTTATAATTATTTATAAAGACGTTTCTCTGTTTTCACTTTACAAATTGTACTTTAAAAACTATATAATATCAATAAATCTATCGTTTTATTTAGCGTAAATTATATATAATTCTTTAATAGTAAAACTCAATTGTTTTGCTCTCGTGCAATTAATTATACAAATTATACAAATTATATAAATGTATATTTGATAGAAAATACCGGACTATTCGTCAAATTCAATTATGTACTGCTACAATATTTTTAAATGTTATTTAAATAGAATGAATATCGACCAAGATAATGTTATTCATTATTATTGTAATTTAAAATTATACATCCGTTACAACAATAAATATAATTACTTTGAACTTTTAGCGATTAAACTTTGAACTTTAAATTGAAAAAATAATGCCTAAACGTGAATTCTCATGCAGAAGTTACAATTGCCTTCTATACAATTCTTAAAAAAAGATATTTAAAATTATGAAAACCTTTTTCATTAGCAAAATATTTTTAACCATTATTTCAAGATATTCTATTTTCATTCTACTTTTAGTGCAAAATAACATCAAAATGTCTACATCCATATACAAGACTTGTCGAAATTAAATAATATCATTTTATATTATAATAATACTTTAACTGAATTAATTTTTACTATGTAATAATGAAAATTAATAATAAACAATTATATTATATTAAAATGGTAACGAAGAATATAATGTCCTACGATGAAATTGTTATACTATTTAACATTGGCCAAATTTGAAAAGCTATGATAACTCGAAATAAGCAACGAATATTATTATTAATTTTCTAAAATATGCATAATATTTTTATACATAGATATTGGAGGAAATTACATTTCACTTAAGTTTTAAAATTCATCGAGTCTCTATTTGCTAACATTGTCATCAAATTCATCAACGAATTAATCATGAGCCCGAAGACAGGGGATTTTCTATTTAAGTGATCATTCCTTATTTTACATATATATTTAACTTTATCTATATTATTGTGATTTATAATGTTGAAACTCATTATAGAAATAAAATCCATTTGCATAAATAATCAAATATTGCATTTATTTTATAATATTTTATAGTGCGCAAACTATAATTAATAAAAGTGTGTGAAAAGTAATGACAATGCCAAAGAATATTTAGAGTATTCGTTATCTCCCCATCTTCAATGTAATTTAATAAAAAAATCCAACATTAAGAAATATTATAAAAGTATGACCTAAACAAAATAATTATTCATTTATTAAGTAAAAATGACGCTTGTAATTTTTTATATTGAATTATACAATTTTCTGAATGTTGAGGGTTGAAAAATAGTTGTAGAAGAAAGAAAGATCTAATTAGCCATAAAGGAGTCGTATGAAATTTTTTGCGTACTTTCAATATCATTAAATTGTTAAATAATCATCTAATGCAAAATACCAGCCCGAGACGACATTGGGCACAAATAATAAAAGATCATATTTGGCATTAATTTTTAATACATTCAGTTTTTTTTTTTTGTTTTTTTTGTTTTTTTTTTTTGTTTTACTTTCTCACTTTCAATATTAGTATATTAATGACATCATAAAAACTGCTTTGCACCTCGATTCTTTCATTATTTCGAATATTGCGATAACCAGTGATTAATAAAAAGGAAAAAATAAAAAATATTTACAAACATGCTACGACAACATTTACTCAGAATACAATAGGCTAGTAAAATATAAAAATGACTAAGAAAATGTTCCAACTACCTTAGCTCGAAATCGTGCGCTATTTTCAAATTTCGATCCAACTTTTCCAAATAAGTCGACGATTTTAATCAGCATCTGAAGAAAAGAGCAAGGTAGAGGCTGAGAGCATAAGATAAACAGCAGAGGAGATAGATATTCATATGTACAAGCAGGTGATTGTATTTTCAAATATCGAGATTGAAAAAAAAAAAAGAAAAAAAATGGATTTTTACTTGGCAGAATGTTCGGAGGTGAGAAAGTACAGGACGCGGTACTTGGATTAAGATTCTCCTTTTACACATGCGAGGCTCGCACTTTGCCGTCGTCGAGTGCCATCCGAGACTCTCCCCCAAGTATACGGGTCGGTCGCGTACACAGGTGAAAAGAAAAAAGAAAGAAAAGTTCACGATTCGGCGACGGCGGCGGCGGCGGCATTCCATGGAGAAATATACTCGAGTTGAGTCGATAGGACAGGACTCTGCTCGCTCGCATCCACCGAGACGTGGTGGCACGCACGGGAGAAATGAAGAGGAGCAAGCACGCGCAACGCGAACTCCACTCTCGACCAATGACGGGCAAGGAGCTTGCCTCGGCCTATCCTGGCCCTCGGCCTCCCTCCGGCACGGTGGGCCCGATGTCGATCCCGAGCTCGCGGGCCTCAAGAAGGGACTCTTGCTCGGAGCGAAGAGTGCGCGCTCTTCATCTCCCGGTGCCGTCTGCGCGCGCCACCGGCCCGCACCTCTTCCCGCACCACATTCAGCATCACCCAGTGGAGCATCGACGTGGGCTGCCGAAATTCGTTAATAATAGGCAGGCAAGGAATGTTGTCGCGTCGCCAGGCAGTAGAGAGGAAAGCGACGGGAGGACGCGCGTTATAAGCCTTCTAGTCCAAGCGCCAGGTAAGTCTTGGAATGCGTTTAAATGCGTGTAAGTGCGTGTTGGCGCGTGCGGTATTACTTGGAGTGCGATTAAAGTGCGTGCGTGATAATGGAGCGGTCCCTTGGAGATTGGGGTCCTTGCGGTGCTAGGTACCTTAGCGACAAGTCGAAGTTCGCTGGTGAAGCCAGACAGAAAGAGAAATGGAGTTTTCAAGTAGAGTAGAGGAGGGATCAGGCGGTAAACGGGAACGCGAGGTCGAAAGAGATAAAGAGAAGGAGACAAGGAGTAGAGTAAGGGAACGCTCCAAGAGCTTGAAGGTCTGCCGTACGTGTGCTGTACGTTCCCTCCCTCCTCCCCCCCTCTCTCTCTCTCTCTCACCCCTTCGCTCCATCTCCCTCTCTCTCTCTCTCTCTCTCTCTCTCTCTCTCTCTCTCTCTCTCTCTGTGTCGTACTCTCTAGTACTCTCTCATACTCTGTTTCTCTTGTCGTGAAAGGAAATAAATGTGTTTGATCGAGAAATACGCCCAGCACGTCTTCAATTAGCACCGATCGCTTTTCAAATACACTTTGCTAATTCATCTCAACGTCATCTACTACCTTAGACTATGCCATTAAAGCTCATCCGGAAATGCTAATTAAAGTATTCTCTTTCAAGCAAATGAATCAACGTTCGGTTTGTTACTAATTCTTCCGCCTCGTATCGTTCGATTACCAACGTGCGTTGCTTCTTTTTTTTTTTACCTTTTCTCTTTTGGCTTTAATATCGACAACCGCTTCAAAACTGGTTTGTCCTTTTATTCCTTTATTATCCCGTAAAGTGTATATATTATGATAATTTGAGCCGATAACGTCAATTTGGAGAAAGGTATTCAAATAAATCTTATATATACGATAAGCTGACTGGAAATCGAAATAAGACGTAGCAGCTTTATCTTGTTAAACACTCGTAATAACAATCCGAGGAATACTCCTAACGCAACATTTTCATTCGTCCTAAAACAAGGAATGCATCGCCCTTGCAACCTTTCATCGTTAAGCTTTGATTTAAGCAAATGAAACGAGAATTATAGAATTATTGGCATTATTTTATGCGTCCTAAAAAAAATTATTTAACAAAACTTACACAGTAATGTAAATTTCAGTTCGATTTTAAAGCTCGAATTAATAAGCTAAACATCTTTTGTGATTTTTCGCTAAGTTATACAACTAAATATTAATGATTTTAAAAGGTAGCTTTTGTAAAGCTATTGTATTACCATTAACAGTTAAGGTGCGCCTATTGTAGACAATGGATAAAATTTTCACATGAGATAATGATACGAATATTTAATAAATATTCTATTGTTATTAAATCAAAATTAAACGTTTAAAAGAAAAAAGAAAAAAGAAAAAGGAATAAAGAAAAAAGAAAAAAGAAAAAATAGATTCTTGTTTCGTTAATATGACGTTGTAATTGTTGTCTCTAAAAAGTATTTCTAGGCTTCGAAAAATTACTTTCTTTAAGAAAAAATCCTATATAAAGTATGTTTCTCTCACAAATAGTTGATTAATCATTCGACTTTGATCATCGGTAATAAATGCACGATATAACTAGCCACTACAAAGCGTATTTCATTATAATTAAATGAGGATAAGCAGAAAAATTAACAACGTACATAAGCACCTTCCTAGGACTGATTTGTGCTTCGTGGAAATTAATTTCTTTATACAAGAATGAGAAATCGAAAGAACAAGCAAATGCAATGCCGTATCAAGTGAAAAAGTAAGGCCCGTTCTACTTAGCGGCATATCTGGAAGAACGTGTGCGAGCGAGCGAGAAGAGAGAGAGAGAGAGAGAGAGAGAGAGAGAGAGAGAGAGAGAGTGGAGTGAGAGAGAGAGAGAGGAGGGGGGGGGCATCATCAGTGTCCGTGACACGCAGTCCAGACAAGCGTTCCCACCGTTGCGAGCATTTCGAACATTTCGGTTCCAAACAAATCGGCCCACTGCCACAATACCTTTTCACTCTCCCCTTCAGACACTCATTAAAAAAAAAAAAAAAAAAAAAAAAAAAAAAAAAAAAAAAAAATACAGAATGAGGCGCACGCATCGGTGCGTTCGTATGTTCATTTGAATCCAAAAGATAGCAGGTGTCGAACATCGTAACCGGTAAGCGTCGCATCCCGCGTCATTCCAATTTGCACTCGACTACATACCAATTTCCCAAAGATTTGCACGTATTTTTCAAACTGCATTTCCCTCAAATCACAAATTAGCATCATTGAAGACATAAACTGCACTATCTTTATTACTTAGCTACCTATCTGCTTATCAACTTCCGTCTTTTCGGCTTCTATACTTTTACAATGCTGTATTACCATTCGATCCATAATACTTTCTATATTTTATCAAAGATCCAGCATACCTTTATGTTCCAGTAAAAACTGCAAAATATTATTCTAATGTCAAGTAAAAGACATGACAAATTTAAATTATTTTATACCCTAATAGAGCGTCACTGACTACATTTAGCATTCACGTTTATTTCTGCGGAATGTAAAAACATACATATGAACTTATTATCGCAATTAATCTATATTATAAATTACATCTTTAATCATTCATTTAACTTAACTTATAAAAGCAAAAATGTACAATATATAACTAAATAATCTTTGCATCCATATTATTAAAGCAAAATAGTACTTTAGCTTAATTGTTTACATTAACCTCTAAGCTTTAGTTTCGATTTATCCATCCGTAATCTGTCGATTAAAACGATTTACAAATAATTTAACGCATTATTAACTTAAGATAATATTTTACTTTCGAGCTTGAATATGCTCCGTAATACAAAAATTACCCACTTTTACTATCTATTTTTCCATTATATTTGTAATACTTTTCATGCACTTCATCATAAAATCATTTAAATCAATCAAAAGATTAAGATTAAGAAAAAATTTTAAATTAAAATTTCTAATAATTTACTCATGAGAATATTTTCATTTACGTCACTTTATAAATTTTGATTGACAAACAATCTTTTCTTTTCTCAACTTTTTTAAAACTTGTAAATGTAAATTGATTTAAAATCTTGACTTTTCTTTTCTTCTTTTTTTTTTTTTTTCTAATATCATCCATAAATGTACAAAAACTAAGAGAATTTGTTATACATTAACACACACATTTTCTAATTAATAAGCTTAACATACGATATTTACAAAATACGTGCCTAAAAAATTACTTCAAAACAACTTTACATATTTTTTATTTACGCCCTTCACTGCTTAAGTGTTTGTCGTTGAAATATTTAGCAAATTATAGGTCACAATATATATATAGAAATATTGAAGAATGCATAGAGGAATCCTATAAAGTTAATATTTTTTTTTTTTTCTAATATCTTTTATTAACAGAGCGAGGCATCTTCCATATCGTTGAAATGTGACAATAAAAATTGTTTTCTATAGCAGAGTAATTCGATTATTATAAGTAAATACTTTAATAACTTAGAAAAATTCGAAGATTAAATTATTAGGATACGCGATGCAAAAGCCGTATAGTATAAATTTTTTTACGTTTATAATTTTTTAATTATTGCCATAATTCAAATATTAAATATCACTTAATTATAATTGACTACTGAAATAGTATTTTTGAAGAATCATGGAATATTTTTATCTTACTGATCAACGATCAACAATATGTTTAATTTACGATGAAACTTTACACGATTAAAACAATTTACAAAATTTTATACAAATTTTTCATACATTATAGATTAAAGTATAGATTAAAACTCGCAATAAAAAGTATTAAAAAATGTACTTAACTTAAAAAAAAAAAATACATATATATATATATATATATATATATTTTTATATAATTAATAATAATGAATCTTATAGAGAATAATCTTATTTTTATAAATCAATCTGTTCTAGTTAAACAATTAACAAATTAATCATTAAATCATTAATTAGCTATCTTAATAATAATATTTTATTTCTAGTTCAAATGTATACTCATACTTTCAAAATAACAATTATAATTATAGAAATTCTATAATAATATAAGAATTATACTAGAATGATACATAAATATTTTATACAAATATTAAATTCTATACTTCTTTCTAAACGTATTCTAATAAAAATTTATGAAAATACATTAAAAAAAGTATATATTCAATACAATATAAGGTTTGCTAGTGAATCAACTCGATAATTCTCATAATATAGATAATATATGTCATTATTATCTAATTGCTTACATAAAAAATCGTTTTATGTAGGATTCGAAACGTAAAAACTTGAAATCACAAAAGCAGGATGTTTCTTTTTTTTATATATTAAACAAATACTTGTTCATAAAATTTTAATATATACACATTATGTGCCTCATATACATATTGTAATGTCCAATTACAATGTGTAATTAATTGTATGTAAAAGCTATTAAAATTAAATGTGAATTTCTACGTTAATATGATAAATCTTTCTGAAAATATTTCATTATAAATTTTTTCAGGCTTGCAACATTGATCATAGATTAATTACAAATTATCATTTATCACGAAATATAATATAAATTTATTGAAAAATTATTTTTTCATATATCTAAAAAATTCCTTATTTTTCATAGTGATCGATTGGATTTAGTTGCTTAGACGAGTAAAAAGAGATTCAACCGTGAAATTAGATCTCAATTAACTTTGCTCAATCCCTTAACTAATTTTATAATAATTAATAATCACTCAAATATGCTTACTTACTGATCACAAATACACAGTATTTATATAAGTACACAGAGATAATAAATAATTAATTCATCATATCCTTAATTACATAAAATAAAATGCCGTAGTTTGTGTAGTATATATTAGTTATATGTTACGAGAAACTTTATTAGTAAGTAGTTAAGTATTTTTTTTTTTTTTTTTTTTTTTTTTTTTTTTTTTTTTTAAGCTTATTATAAATATCGTAAAATAAGTATTTTTAATTATATTAATGTAATAATTATTGTCATCTGAATAAAGGC